GGAAAAGCTGATCAAAGCCCTGGGAGAAGTGAGGAGAGCTCTTGAGTGCATGGCTCCCTGGGGTTGTGTGAGTGTGTATCCTGTAACCAGGCAACCAGGGTGCTGGGGGGGGGGGCAGGCCTCTACTCTTATGTTGCTGCCTGCTGGAGGTGGGGGTGCTTGGGTAGCTCACACCCATTCATTTATCTGTCCATTCATCTGGCTGCCCATCTTCCTGTCCACCCTGTCCCTCACGTGGCCACTCACCTGCTCAGTGTAGCTGTCAGTAATTGCTAGCAGGTCTAAGCAAGGAGTGTGAGAATATGGTATACATGGTCTCTGCTTAAAAAGGCTCAAGTGGACAGAGCAGGGCTGAGCTAGGGACAGGGGTGCAGTGGCAAACACACTTCCAGCGTTCCAGACAGGAATTTGAAGTAGCCCAGCTCTAGGGAGTTCCAGTGAGAGGGACTGTCTAGATCCATTTTGTTCTGTGACCTGCCTGCCAAAGGCCTGGTGTAGACAGAGGAGGTAGCTGGCCCAGTGGCCTCCTCCCCTCCTCTACTCAGCCCAGGCCCCCTTCAAGACTCTCTTGTTTGCATTGACAGTGGTACAGGGATGCCTGGGGAATAAGCCTGCCAGGCTTGAAGCCTGCTGGCAGGAGCTGGTAAATCTATCATAGACTGGCTAAAGAGAGCCTGTGGTAGGAGGGAGGGAGGGGCCCTGCAAGGTCAGATGGGCAATTTATGGAGGTGCTGGGGCAGCCTTTCATGGTGTCTGACAGTCCAGCTTCTCTCTGGAGAAGTCACCTCCTTGGGAGTTTATGAAGCTCTAGAGAATCTCAGTGGCATAGGGCATTAGTGGTTGGGACAGGCAAGATCCTGTGTTGTGTGTGCATAGCTAGTTCTAAGCTCTGCCCTTACTCTCTGTGGGCCTCTGGTCCCCATGGGAACTCCCTGGTGCACCCTGGTGGTGAGGGAAAGTCTTGGGGGCAAGAGTGATGCCCCTCACACCAGAAAGCCTTGTCTGGGCCCAAGAACAGAGCCATGGTGATGCAGAGCTGGCTGTGTGTAAGGGCCACTTCCCGTCCCTGGGAGACCCTGTATGGTGGCCAGATGGGTGTGTCTCTGGCAATGCCATCTTAACAGGAGCTCTGCCACTTGTTAGGCCCTTCTTTCTTGCCTTCTTCATGATCCACCTGTCTCTGAAACAGAGGCGACAACAGAACTGGCCTCAGGAGTAACCTCAACACTGACTGTCTAGGAAGCACCCCACAAATGCTCCTCCATTACATCAGTCATGTTCAGCACACGGGGGGTCATAGAACAGCTCCAGAGCTGATCACGAACACCCGCCTTGGTCATTTGGGGCAGACTGTCCCTCTGGTAGCTGCTATCGGGCAGTTACCCTCTCCAGGTTTTCTCTAGGCTAGGTAGGATCCAGGGAGGGATGTGGTACGGCCCCCTCAGGAGGCTGGGTTAGCTCCAGGGCAGCGTTGTTGTGAGATATGGTCCAGCAGCGACCTGACCTTTGTTCTTTCCCCACAGATCTACCGGAGGTGCTGGCTGGTATTCCGGAAATCTTCCAGCAAGGGGCCCCAGCGGCTGGAGAAGTACCCTGATGAGAAGTCAGTGTGCCTCCGAGGCTGCCCCAAGGTTAGGGGCCTGGGCCCTAGCTTCCCCTACCTGTGAGCAAAGATGACTTGCTGAGTCTTGAGGTCCGGGCGTACCTTCCTGGGGGGCACAGCTACGGGAGGCAGGGTGAAGTACCCCAGCCGGGCTAAGCCTCTTGGGATGTCCTCTCAGGTGACTGAGATCAGCAACGTCAAGTGTGTCACACGGCTCCCCAAGGAGACCAAGAGGCAGGCAGTGGCTATCATATTCACGGATGACTCGGCTCGTACTTTCACCTGTGACTCAGGTGAGGCCTCAGGGTGGCAGGCTCCAACTGGTCTTCTGGGGCTGGTAACAGTAGTTCAAGCAGTGGATAAGAGAGCAGGGCCAATCCTGGCAGGAAGGGTGGGAGGGTGTGTCCCTGGTGGAGTTGATCCCCAGACTAAGGCTGGCAGGCAGGTAAGGCCCTGCCCTCCCTGCAAAGTGCAATGGTTTAAACCAAGGCAGACTGGGTGGGCTGCTGAGGGCTCTGAGCTGGCAGAACTGTGAAGTGCGATTTCTCTCTAGAGCTGGAGGCAGAGGAATGGTACAAGACGCTATCAGTGGAATGTCTGGGGTCCCGGCTCAACGACATCAGTCTGGGAGAGCCAGACCTCCTGGCCCCAGGAGTACAGTGCGAGCAGACAGGTGAGGCTGGTGCTGGGTCTCCAGGTGGGGTGGGAGGTGGGGCCCTCGGTTAGTGCTGCTGTCCTCATCACCCTCTGCCACCGCAGATCGCTTCAATGTCTTCCTGCTGCCCTGCCCCAACCTGGACGTATACGGCGAGTGCAAGCTGCAGATTACCCACGAGAACATCTACCTCTGGGACATACACAACCCCCGCGTGAAACTCGTCTCGTGGCCCCTCTGCTCCCTGCGCCGTTACGGCCGAGATGCCACACGTTTTACCTTTGAGGCGGGCAGGTAGTATCGTCTTTCCTCCCTCCCTATACTACATGGCACATGGAGGCTGCTTTCTGCATGGCATCAGTATGGCAACCCAGAAGGGATAGAAGGCCTCAGTTTTGCAGACAGGGAACTCAGGGCCTGAAGAAGCCATTAGCTACAACAGGCAGGTCTAGTGAAGCTGCATACCAAACACATCTCCCTGGCTCAGTCACTGCTGCCAGCGCACACTTGAGCTTTGTGATTGTGGCCTCAGTACCAGTTTTCTACAGGGGACTAAAAAAAGCACCTAGCCTGCTGGGACTTCACCAGCCTGCTAGACTTTAGCTGTGCACCACCCTGAGTAACCTTGGCTGAGCTACTCTTAGGCTGGAAGCTTTGGTTTCCTCTTCTGTAAAACCCGAGGAAGCTGTTCACTGTGCAGAGCAGAGGGTAGCAGAAAAGCTGTGCTGGTGAATTAGTGTGAATTAGTGCACTGGCTAATTAATTAGTCAAACCTCCACTGTGTGTGTGGTAACCGCTCAGCTCATGTATACTGTGGCCCAGGTCCTAGACCACAGCCAGCCTGTCCCTGGAGGTCTTGGTACAGCCACAGCTGGCATACAGAACTCGCACACCCACGCAGTGCAGCTCCTGACACCTTGCCCACCTTGCTTTCTGTGTCCTAGGATGTGTGACGCTGGGGAAGGACTCTACACCTTTCAGACACAGGAAGGGGAGCAGATTTACCAGCGGGTCCACAGTGCCACCCTGGCAATCGCTGAGCAGCACAAGCGGGTCCTGCTGGAAATGGAGAAGAACGTGAGGGTGAGGCAGTGGCTATTGTTCCAGGGCACTGGGAGGTGGGACAGACATGCCAGCTAAATTTCCACCAGCCTGTGCACAGGTGAGTCGGGCAGGGCCCTGGGCTGGCAGCCCTGTCCCCGGAACTAACACAGGGGACCCCTCTCTGTGCCATAGCTGCTGAACAAGGGCACCGAACACTACTCATACCCCTGCACACCCACCACGATGCTGCCCCGCAGTGCATACTGGCACCATATCACAGGCTCTCAGAACATTGCTGAAGCCTCTAGCTACGGTGAGTCATTCATTGTGTCTCGTCCCTGTGGAGGCCTCCCGGGCAAGGGTCTTTGGTCCTGGATTCAAATTCTGAGCCTGGATTTCTGACCACAGGTGAAGGTTATGGGGCAGCCCAGGCCAGCTCAGAAACAGACCTCCTGAACAGATTCATCCTGCTTAAGCCACAGCCCAGCCAGGAGGACAGCAATGAGACCCAGACTCCTTCCCAGTGACAGCTGGACCGGTGGGCGCACTGACTGCTGGGTCACCCGTTGGAAGGCTAACTGCAGCGGCCCATGGACAGCCTTAAGGAGCTGTTGGCCAAGAGCCTGAAGAGAGAGCAAGCTGTCCCTCCTTGCCCTCCAGGGTGAGGCTGGACCTCAGCACATGGCTGGCCACACCACCTGAGCATGAGGGGCTGGAGCCACCGTGGGACTATATACTGTTAATGGTTTTAATATATATGGCTTATGACATATTCTGTATTAATGAGGCGTCCCTTTATCCCTCCCCAACACATACCCATTTTTAATTCCAAGACCAGGTGTGGTCAAAGCTGTTTTTGAGTATGAGGGCAGCTGTTCCTGTCCTCATTGAAAAAAACTCTCCTGCTGCCGAGACTGTTTGAGCTGCCAGGGTCAGAGGGGAGCAATCAGACCGGTGCTGCCTGCGGGCTCTTCCTCAGAAGCCCAAGGGCCAAGACAGCAGTAGCATCTGTCCTCTGGGCCAACAGTGACACAGGAAGGACCCAAACTTGACTGTACCATGTGGTAGCCTTGCACTTAGGAGTTTTGAAGCAGAGGTGGCATCCGGTTTTAAAATGCACTTTCTGCACTGGCTCCTTCCTGCTCAGTGGGCTGAAGATGTCTTCGGGCAGGGCGCCCGTTACCTCAGCAGTAGAGAATGGCTGGGGCCAGCCTGGGAGGCTGCAGAACTGCTGTGGGGAGCACCCTGCTGCCCCCCCTTTACTGAGTGGGGGTATAATGCTGCAGCAAGGGGAGTCCCTTGCCCTGGGCCAGCCACCCCAGGCCAGATTCCACAACCAAGACCTTCCCATCTCCGACAAGGTGCTGAGGCTCCCTGCTGAAATGCAATTAAAGCAATCGATTTTCTAGTGCTGGTATTTATTGACTACCGTGCAGAAGGGCTATCTTTCTATTCACATCAAACCTTTTGTTGCGTGTTTGTTTTTTAATACTTTAGGGTTCTGATTTGTGGGAATAGACCTTGTAAATAACCGCTGTTCACATTTGTGGCAGAATAAGGAGGCCCCTCCCAGAGGGGCCCCAGAGCAGGCAGGTGACCCAGGTAATGACCACCCAGAGGTCAGCTTGTCTGCAGAAGAAATGGGCTCAGATCCTCGGGAGGAGGCAGAGCTGGCTCAGTTAGCGGCACGATGACGCATGAAGGAGATTATGTTGTGCTCTTTATTGCCAAAAATAAAAACTTGTAAAAAGACAACTATTGTTGATCAATAAATATCCTTTCCTTTCTGTGCTGGTGTGGGCTTCTCCCAAGGCTGCCTGAAAACCATGGTGGGCAGATTTGTTCCTATCTGGAGACCTGCTTAGGGCAGAGCCTGAACTTCACTGAAGAGAAAGGAAATGTGGGAGGGGCCTGTCCCCCCCCACCCCAAAGTCAGGTCAGAGAATAAAACAGCAAGTTTACCTGTGGACAGAGAGGATGGCCAGGATCTAATACTAGTCCCAAAGGGTGACATCTCAGCTTAGGGACACCAGTAAGCTGGCCCAGACCCTGACCCTGGGAAGACTTGAAAGGCCACGGCCTGCTTCAATGAAGGTCCTAATACTCAGTCCCAACACCAGAAGCCAAGTAGGCTGTGAAAGCTCCTCTCCCTGGACAGAGATTTTAACAGCTGGACTGACCAGGTATCTAAGTCAGTGGCTCTCAACTAGGAAGCAATAGGGCCCCTATTGCTAGTGAGCTAGGAAACAGGTTGGAAGGGATGTCTGGGGTTCTGAGGAATACCACAGTGATCAACAAGGTAGGCCAGGGATGCTAAATGCCTAGTGAAAAACTGCCTTGCCTAATACCAGCGGAACCCTGGCAATCTCTCCGGGAAGCTTGTGCAACTGCAGTCCAGAGCCTTGAAACCAGAAAGCTTCTCAAGACCTGAAGTCCAGTGGTCACCTTGAACCTAGTCTTCTGCAGCGGGCAAGCTGCGGCTAGTTTATGGTGAGCATGTCACTCTGGATCTCATGACTTAGCTGAGTCTGTAAGTCACTCAGCTTCTTCTTTAACCCAGAGAGGGCTGAGAGGACAATGGTTTCAGGGCGCAGTGAGCCACAGGACTCCACATTGTAGTAAAACCTAAGGGACAAGAGGAGGGTGAGAGCCCTCGTGAGGCAGGCTTCCCTTCTAGCCTGTGAGACTTGATTTCATTCTTATGAGGCACTTGATCTTGGGACAGGGCTGACTTCCCTTTACCTAAAACCTCTTCTGCAGAGTGGTCCAGATCTACTTTGCAGTTCCTCAGGGAAGCTACAGCTGCTTCAAAAAGGCACTGTTGAGCTGAGCAGTGGTGGCAAACAAAAGCCTTTAATCCTAGCACTTGGGAGGCAGAGGGAGGTGGATCTCTGTGAGTTCAAGGTCAGCCTGGTCTAAAGAGCAAGTTCAAGGACAGCAAGGGCTACACAGAGAAACCTTGTCTTGAAGGGGGATAAAAGGCATCGCTGAAAAACTCTAAAATGACTGTACGTGCATTTCTACATTGGAGACAGCAGGAAAGGGGAAAAAAAAAATCATACATGACACTGGCCACAGCTCTCCAGTTGCTTCAGGGTATTAGGGCTATGGTCAGTTCTGCTCTGGTTTGAGCCTGAACAGACAGGCCAGAAATAGATAGCATGGGGCAATAATAAGGCCCTTTCTTCATGGTAGCTAGAGAGGAATGAGGACCAACTCAGAATGTGTAATGTAAGTTTGAAAGGTAATTCTCCTGTTACATGGGGAGGTGGGGGGCTTGGACATGAGACTGCCTAACAGCCTCTCCTATCTATATTCTTACAATTACAGTTCCAAGCAGGACTGGGCCTTACCTCTCTGGCTTGCCATTGGGGTCATAGGGAGCCTGAGACTCATCCTCATCAAGCTCGGAGTACTCGCTCTTTGGCCTGAGGACAAGCATAGGCGAAGTGCAAGTGGTTATTTCTGCTTTCAGCAGGGCCCTCAGAGCACCTACCTACGGCATCTCTCATTACAGTCATCGCTGGTGCCCCCTCCCCCCCACAACATACCATTCCTCGGGCTTGGGATACACCGTGTGCCTAAGTGCGTTGTCTGGGTCATATTCAAAAGCCACCCCTGCAGTAGGGTTCCACTTGGCATGTTCCTTGCCAAAGCCCTTCTTGGCATAAGCTCGAAGTCTCAGCTCCTGGCCCTTCCTCAGCTTGACAATAAGGATGTCTGCAGGGAGAGGGGAGTGTGAGTCAGAATCCAAAAGAGGCCAGCTCTCCAACTTCTGACTGCAGTACTGCATGAAGAAACCCGTATCTGGGCAAAGAGGTCTAAAGAGACCAGGCAGCCCACCAAGAGGATAGATCTGGTCTCTGTTTCCTCTGGCCCACCAGCATGCATGCGCCACCCCTTACCATCCTGCCCCACCCCCCTTACCATCCTGCTCCACATAGTCATTGGGGTCATTATCCCGGTTCCGGGATGTCACCTGTAGGAATCCCAAACAAGTAAACATTAGCCTCTCACCTCTCAGTCCCCTGGCAACTGTCTCCAAGTAAATCCAAGCTGTAATCTGTCAAGTCAGGGAAAGGAGGCCTGAGAAGGAGATGGCACAGTTGTCCAAACAGTTTGACGGCCTTTAAGAGGGTCTTTGGACAACATAGGGAACATGGAACCAATACTGCTCTGTTCAAAACCCGGGACCAGCACTTGTAGGTAGCAGTTAAAGTAGACGGTCATAGGGCAGGTGACTTTATGACCACATCTCATAAAGATCCACTCCAATCCATTTGACTCGGAGCCAGAGAGAGAAGAGCAAAGGCACTGACCGGAATAACCCGAGGGCTGTTGGAGATGAGATCCCGAGAGGTAACGTGGCGAGTCTGGTCTTCATTGCACCTCACGTCAAGAGTGAATTCCACGGAGCACTCAGGGCAGAACTCTTCGCACGTGCAGTCCTGAGATAGGAAGGGCAACAGAACAAGGAGTCTGGACTCTCTGCTTCTACTAACCAGCTTCTATCAGTTTCTTCTTGGTGAAAAGGGGCTGACCACAGTCCCAGGCCTCTTGTGGGCTGTGACATCTGGGAACCATCCTCTCAGTTGCTCAGCTTATAGATAACATGTCTACAAGCTGGCAACCACACTTGCTTTCCACGGCCATTGCTGCAGGCTACCACTAGGGGACACACTGCTTACACAGCAGTGTCCAAGCAGGACTGCTTCAGAGGACCAGGGTTGTCATGGGACTACCTACCTGCAGTGCACTCTGCAGGCCAGCTGGGGAATTACTGAAAATACGGTAAGTAAGGGAAGAACAGAAAAAAACAAAACATCTCTCAAGATCCAGACTACTTGGAATAGAAAGTCCTCCTGTGGCCCAGGCTAGCCTGGAATTCACTATGTAGCTGAAGATGAACCTTAAACTACTGATCCCCGTTATCACTTCTCAAGTGCTAGGATTACAGGCATGGGCGACAACATCCAGCAAATCTTTTTTTTTTTTTTTTTTTTTTGGTTTTTCGAGACAGGGTTTCTCTGTGGTTTTGGAACCTGTCTTGGAACTAGCTCTTGTAGACCAGGCTGGTCTCGAACTCACAGAGATCCGCCTGCCTCTGCCTCCCAAGTGCTGGGATTAAAGGCGTGCGCCACCACCGCCCGGCTCATCCAGCAAATCTTTATTTCAAAATCTCTTAAGGAAAATTTCACCCATATAAAAAAACAGAGAGGACTGATTGCCACCTATCATATACCCACCTTCCAGCTTCCTTAATCATCAACACTTGCCATTCTTTTGGAGACAGGGTCTCTCTGTAGTTTTGGATCCTGTCCTGGAACTAACTCTTGTAGACCAGGCTGGCCTCAAACTCACAGAGATCCGCCTGCCTCTGCCTCCCGAGTGCTGGGATTAAAAGTGTGTATCACCACTGCCTGGCCCATGTGTTCAAGTATTAAGAAGAGAAGGGTCAGGATGCTTTTCATTTATTTTCTAAAAGGTTAGGTAAAAATAAGGCATATGTAGCAAAACATTAGCATTAACTACAGAGAAAAAAATTAAATGGGTGTTTATTAATATTTCCAAGACAGGCATGGTGGCACATGCCTTTAATCCCAGCACTCAGGAGGCAAAGCAGGTGGATCTCTGGAAGTTCAAGGCCAGCCAAGGCTACACAGTGAGACCCTGTCTTAAAAAAAAAAAAACAAGAAGAATAAATGGGAGGTGGGGGGATTGGCGGTGCTGGAGAGATGGCCCAGCTGTTAAGAGCACTTGCTGCTCTTGCAGAGGACATCAGCTCAGGTCCCAAAATCTTTATCCAGTGGCTCAAAACTGTTTGTGACTCTAGTTCCGGAGGCTCTGGTGGCCTCTTCTAACTTTTTCCAGCACCCTAACCACCCTGTACATATATACATAGAAGCAGAAAAAATACACATAAAAGTGAAAAAAACTATCTTTGAGGAGATGCCTGGATGTGCTAAGAACATAATCATTCTGAAGCCCCACCAGAACCAAGGAGCACAGTATTAAAGCATCATTTCCACAGTGGTTTCCTAAGCTATGCTACAGTCAGCAGCACAGCTGGAATGCTATTGGAAGGAAGATGTCCACAAAGATCCCCGGGAGAACTAGCCAGCAGCACCCTCTACACACACACACACACACACACACACACACACACACTTCCCGTGCCTCCAGCCTACCCCCCAACACACATACCCGGGAGTACTGCAGTTTGTCCACAATGTCATCACTAGTGAGGGGGATCAATCCTGCAAGACACAGAAAAGTGTTTCGTAGAACAGCCAAGCCATCACAGGAACCTACAAATAAGTCCCTCGGGCTGGGGACAGGAAGCACCCCACTTTAATCCCTTCCATTTCTCAATGCCCAAACTCACCAAGCCTGTGAGCAATGAACTCATCATGAAGGACAGAGGAATTGGCATCAATCTGAACCCAATCGATGGCTGAAAAAGCAAACAAAACAAAACGAGTGAGATTAATCACCATCTGAGCCTCTGGCATCCAGACCTACAGCACTGTTTTCAAGACTCAAGTATTACTCAGTGCTCAGCACTCGGAAGGCAGAGGCAGGCGGATCTCTGTAAGTTTGAGGCCAGTCTGGTCTATAGAGAAACCCTGTGTCAAAATAAAATAAAATAAAATAAAATAAAAATAAAAACTAAATAAAAGAATCACTGTGTGACTCCAGGCATCTAATTTAAACAACCCCCCCCCCCCATACCTAACTGCCTCCAGTGAATTGGATATAGGGCTTACTGGTACTGTACAAAGAAATGCTCACTTAGAAAATACTGTGGGAGAATATTTAGGGAGTTGAATATTTCCCTAAAGAGAACTTCAAATTTGCTATCGGTGTTAATGTCAAATCCAAGAACAAAAGCTATTTGGGCATTTAAAAGTCGGGGGAAACCAGGGTTGAAGGAATGGCTCAGTGGCTAAGAGGATCCCAGCAACCATGTCAGATGGCTCGCAACTGTCTGGAACCCTAGCTCCAGGAGGATCTGAGACCCCTGGCCTCCTCTGGCACCTGCCTTTGCCTGCAAATACCTACAAACAGAGACATAATTAAAATAATTTAAAATTTTAAAAGTTAGGAAAAACATCCTAGAACTAACACTGTGCATGGTCCACACTCATTTTAGATATAAACAGATCGATCACCCATTTAGGATTTCAGTGTTACTCCCATTAGAGGATGGTCACTGAATGTCTTCAATAGGGAAGGAATAGTAAAATAAAACCCAATTCCTTCTAGTTCATTGCTGAGAGTATAGGACTGTGTGCTTAGAGGCTTCACTTAAACATGTACCTAGTCATTCATAAGCAAACACCTGCATGTAAACAATGAAATTCAGAAATCAAATGGTGCTGGAGCCCAATTCTCAAATAACTAGCATAGACTTAAGGAAAAGAGGTCAATGATGGATCCAACCTGCTCTGCCCTGCAGTACTTCCTCAACCCAAGCAAGGACCACATCCAGGTTTTCCCATGCCCATCCTCACACACTGAAAACTGCCAGCCTCTAAAAACCTGTGTGTCTACAGATGCTGCTACTCCCTTAGAACTCCTTCCACTCACAAAAAAAAAAGAAAAAAGAAAAAAGAAAAGATCCCCCTGAAGACACCTGCCATATTTTGCCTTGTGTTTGTCCATGTCTTGTCTCTACATCTTACTTGGAACTTAGATGATCTACACATACAGTGAAAATAAGAGATCCATTAAAAAAGACACCTACCAGAACAGATGAAGAAAATATTACACACACATATGCACAAACACGTACGCACACTGGGTATCATTCAACCATAAAGAACAAAAGTATGTCATTTGCAGGAGGAAGTCAGAACTCTCATGTGAAATCTCAACTTTTAAGAAGGGAGAATTTGGAGCAGGGCGGTGGTGGCGCAAGCCTTTAATCCCAGCACTTGGCAGAGGCAGGCGGATCTCTGTGAGTTCGAGATCCTGAGCTACTACAAGAGCTAGTTCCAGGACAGGCTCCAAAACCACAGAGAAACCCTGTCTTGAAAAACCAAAAAAAAAAAAAAAAAAAAAAAAAAAGAAGGGAGAATTTGGGGCTGGAGAAATGGCTCAGAGGTTAAGAGCATTGGCTGTTCTTCCAGAGGTCCTGAGTTCAATTCCCGGCAACCACATGGTGGTTCACAACTATCTATGAAATCTGGTGCCCACTTATGGTATGCAGGCATACATGCAGACAGAACACTGTATACATAATAAATAAGTCCTTTAAAAAAAGGGGGGAGGTGGTTCAGGGTCTGCGAGATGGATCGGCCGAGTAAAGGCACTTACTTGTCAAGATCCCTAGGACCCATATGGTAGAAGAGAATCCCACCCACAAACTGTACTGTGACCTCCACACATGCACTGTGGCACTCTTGTGCCCAGGGACATACAAATATACATAAATAAACACAACGTTTTAAAGAAGAGAGAGGGAGAGACAAGAAAGTATAACAAGGTACTATCAGGAAAGACGGTGTGTGTGTGTGTGTGTGTGTGTGTGTGTGTGTGTGTGTGTGTGTGTAGACCAGTGGGAGGGAAATAAAAGGAAGAGATTGGGGAATAACAATCTAAATACTCGTGTGTGTGTGTGTGTGTGCGTGCACAAAAATGTCACGACAAAACCCGTTATTTTGTACAATTAACACACATTTTCAAAAGACACCCACTAGTACCCCAACACTGACTTAAAAGTCAAGGCGCGGTATCTTTTCGACTTCGGTAATCCCGGGTATCACCTGCTAACGACTTCCTAACGTCTACCCACTACGGATGAGGAGGCCGCAGCTCTCAGCTGTTTAACAGTGTTCGGTCCTAATTTCTGTTGCTTTTGGGTAGACGGAACAGTGCTGGAAGCCAGGCTGCTGAGCACAGCCCCCCACCTGGAGCGGAGGGCCGGTGGCAGGGCCCCGAGGGAGGGTCGCATACCTATTATGGGCACCTCGGCGATGAAGACCCTCCGAATGGAATTGGCCACCCTGCAGGAGGAAAGTCAGGCAGTGTGAGCGGCCCTAAAGCCACAGCCCTGCAGGAGGCCCGAGCACCCGGCCGCCCACTTCTCCCCTCTTCGCCTTACGCCAGGTCCGTGTTCTCGATAATGAACTTGACGTTCTCTTCGGTGAGTTCCGTGATCCGCACGGTGGGCTGGTTGGCGTACGGCATCGCGACCTGCTGCCAGCCTCCCGCGCCGGTCCCGCGCCGCGCCTGCGCGGTCACCAGCAATTTATCGGCGGGGTCCTCTGCGCTTCCGGCTAGACGTGAGCGCAGCGCCACCTGCTGACTGGAGGCCGGAACTCTCCTGGCTTACGTTTTCTAACTACTCCAAAATGCACCAAGCTCTTGAAATCCCCAAGATATATAGCACAAAACTACATGTACGAGGTTAATCATGCCAGTACTATTTGTAATTGCTAAAAATAACGGACTTGGATTGGATTCCCAGCACCCACATGGCGACTAACGTCTTAACTCGACCCAACGGGCCCTCTTCGGGCATCTGAGGGCACCAAGTATACACATGGTGCACAGGCATGCAAGTAAGCAAAATATCCATATACATAAATAATTTTAAAAACTCTGCTGTCCTTGGGTCTGTTTGTAAAGCTTTCAGCTACTTCTCCAGCACCATGCATGCCGCCATGTGCCCCACCATGACGATAAGGAACTAATTCTCTGAAACTTTATGAAGCAAGGAGACATTTGACTAGTGTGTGAGGGCTTCACTTACTAATGTGAAAATTTGACACACTTGTTTGAGGGAACATCTGCTAGTTTCTGAAAGAGGGATCAAGGCTCGGAAGGTTCTCAGAGGGGCCATGTGAAGATTCGTGTAGGTCTCACCTCATTAAAGAAACTTCTCTTTGCAAAAGATGGAAACCATTACAAAAAAAAAAAAAAAAAAAAAAAAAAAAAAAAAAAAAAAAAAAAAAAAAAAACCTCCCCCAAAAAAGAAACAAAAACCTTCCACAACCAATTAAAACGCAGAGAACAAGCCGGGTGGTGGTGGCGCACGCCTTTAATCCCAGCACTCGGGAGGCAGAGGCAGGTGGATCTCTGTGGGTTCAAGACCAGCCTGGTCTACAGAGCTAGTTCCAGGACAGGCTCCAAAGCTACAGAGAAACCCTGTCTCGAAAAACAAAAAACCCAAAACAAACAAACAAACAAACAAACCGCAGAGAACAAGAGATTGTTGGGTGCCCAGTCTCAACTGCTACATCTACAACTAATTCAACACCTGAGGCCCAGGGGTCACTGTGGAAGAGGGAGTGAAAAGAGCCAGAGGAACGTTAAGTTTGCCACGAGATGGTCTCCTGGGAGAGTTACAAACGCCACACATGATGAAGTCCCACCAACACGACTGCCTAAAGGAGACATGAACAATAACACCAATGGACATTCTAACACAGAAGGGGGAGGGAGCTCAACTCTACATAGATCCGCGGGTGCTGCAAGGGGGAGAAATAACCTTCCTCAGGGAAGGGCCCTGCAGTGGGTTATCCAATAGAGTATCAAATGCCCTGAGATCATATAAATAACATTATAAGGCCTGAGCAGGTTGTATTTATGTATTAGGAATGTATATGTGTGCCAATAACAAGACAGGACATGAGTTTGAGAGGTGTATGGAAGGAGTGGGAAGAAAGGGAAAGGGGAAATGATGTGACTATATCATAATTTTAAAAATAAAAATTGTGAAAATTAAAAATGCAACGAATAGGAATACAACGAAACCCTTTTTAAAAATGAAGTTGTACACAGATAAACAAGAGGGCTGACCCAAGTGTGTAAGACGATTTATGTGTGAGAATGAGGACCCAAGTTCCAATCCTCAGAGCTCATGGGAAGCAGGGCACGGCAATGCAGGGCACAGCAATGCAGGGCACAGCAATGCAGGGCACGGCAATGCAGCGCTGCAGTCTTAGTGCTTTCAGCTGGAAGGTGGAGAGAGAGGAACCCCTGGAAGTGCTCCACCAGTTAGATCCTGTACAAAGGACGTTCTCAGGCCAGTTGAAGTACTATCACACACACACGCACACATACACACTTCAGCTAGAGCACTGTATTTTACTATGGATGTGTATGTACATGATGGTGTCAGCATATGATGTATGTAGAATCAAAGGACAACGTGGGAATCAATCCTCTCCTTCCACCAGGTGGGTCCCTGGGACTGAACTTAGGATGTCAGGCCTGATTGCTAGTGCTCTCACCCACTGAGATGCCTCAAAGGTCCCCAAGGTATGCCTCAGCAATGATACACACACTTCCTTTCTACTCTTGCTCGTCCGATGTTTTTCTGAAGCAAAGATACAATGCTCCCCACGTCTACAGATCTGTGTAGTTGCACCTGAGGAGTTTAAATGGGCCTCACAAAAGCGGCAGCTGCTCACACTGAGAAAAGAGGCCCTTAAACAGAACCCCGAGGGAACTACACTCAGAGGGCGGGAGTTACCAGAGAAGAGTTTGCTGAGAGAGAGGGATGCTAAAAAGGATAAAGTGCAATGGCTACGGCAGTAATTCTATGGGATGGCAAGAGGCAAAAAAAGAAAAAAAAATCAGAGGTACAGAAAGAGCCTGACAGAAAGCCTATGAGACAAAACCTGAAGCTTGACTTTCCCCATCAGTTGACTTAAACAGGAGACCACAGCAGAAGACAGTGCTAACCATGGGGTAAAGGAAGCCCAGCCAGCATAGAGGACTATGAAAGCGAAGGACTGCCCTTAGAGACCAAGTGTAGACAAGGGAGCTCATGGCCTGGGGAGAGTTTTTATCCTTGTTTGACTGAGAGAATACTTAGGTCCAGAATGCAGAGCTGTCACAGTGACCCTGAAGGTAAAAGGCAGTGCCGAGGCCAGAACTCAGGCCTCTTCCACACACTACTGTCTACTGCTGGGGTCTAGGATACTTAACATTGTCTAGATGGAAACTGGACAACAGGAAATTGTTTCAAACATATTTATTATTTTTACAGATTCTAAATACACTAGTGACCTTGTGATGCATGCTGGTGTCTGTGACTGTCCAGAAGGCACCTGTCTCGGGGGAGGCAGCTTTCTGAGGGGACCCAGATGAGCAATGGTCAGTAGCAAATACCTCTGTGAGCACACTGTCTGTCCTGCACTGGGGAGGAGCTGCCGCTGTGTGGTAGTTTCTGTCCCTGGCTGTGAGCTCCTAAGAACTTTTCTCAGGCGATTTTGTTTGAGACGAGCCTGGCTTTGAACTTTCAATCCTGCTGTGGCAGTCCCAAGTGGTGAGAATATAGGTTACCATGCCCAGCTCCCAGAGAGCAGTTCTAAGGTCAAGGCATGATCAAGATGCCTGAGACCATGGCAGAGTCATGCCAAGTTTCTGTGGCTTGAAAGCTTGGATTTAAGTCTCATTTTTCAGTCACACAGTTGCAATGCAGAAAGGCATCGGGGGCCAGGTCTGGTATTAGGAACTGAAGAAGTGGCCTGATTCCAGATTAGAGCAGGAGCAAGTGCACTGTGATTTCCGGCCTCATGGCTATCATCGTAACTCCAAGTTCTTCCCTGCGTTCTCGTTAACATCTTGTTTGATGGATGGTGCATCTTGTCAAAGCCCTTCATATGCACTGCTGCTCCTTCCAGGTACGTGGGTTCCCCTTTCTCTCACCGGCGCTGGTTTAGACCTGTTAGGTTCTTGAGCTAACACAGGGACAGAAACAGAGAGAGTGGTGAGGCTTGTCTTACCTCTAAGGCTACAATGGGAATCCCTGGGTTATTCAAGGTAGTAGGTACAATTATGACACAGATTCAAGCATTCTGGGGACCCAGAGGCAGAAGTGATTTTTTTTAAATATTTATTTATTTATTATGTATACAATATTCTGTGTGTATGCCTGCAGGCCAGAAGAGGGCACCAGACCCCTTTACAGATGGTTGTGAGCCACCATGTGGTTGCTGGGAATTGAACTCAGGACCTTTGGAGGAGCAGGCAATGTTCTTAACCTCTGAGCCATCTCTTCAGCCCTTTTTTTTCTTTTCTGAGAAAGCTTGTCATATAGCCAAGCTGGCCTGGAACTTTTTATCCTCCTGCCTCAGCATGAGTGATGGAATACAGGTTTGTACTGCCTCTTCAACCAAGCTCTAGCAATTGTTTCTTGATACCAGCAAAGAAGGGGTGGGGTATTCATTTGAGAATAAGATACCAAGACTAAACCAAGATCAGCTTTATGCAGCTTGCAAGCCAAAGCTATTTGGGTTGGTTACATGTTATAAACAGCCCAGGACTTACCGTGACCGCTGCACCCATCAGTCCTTGCACCAGTGCTTCTCCAGTGGACTTCACCTAAGAGGGGTCTGGGTCAGATTCTGTTAAGCCCCTGAGTGAGCTCAAAGGGGAAACAGAAAGGACAATCGAGGAAACCTACGAGCCCGACAGTGGAGTCAAGATGGATTAATGTACTGGAAAAGAGCCTACGGACAACTCGGGCACAGACAGACGGAGCAGACAGCCTCAAACTCACAGAGATCCACCTGCCTTTGCCTCTGAGTGCTGGAATTAAAGGCGTGCACCACCACCACCCGGCAGACAGTAGACTTTTAAGGGCTAGCATGAGGAAAAAAACTGCCAGTCTCTTTGGGAAGGCCTTTGGGACTGTCAGTTAAGAACAGGAAGAGAACAGCCAGGTGATCACGTGTGGTTTTAGGCCAACAGGGTGTGCCTACTGAAAAGGGTTTTCAAATGTCCAGTCCCCAACTACCTGCTTAGCTGTGTGGCCCATGTTCATTGCATCATTAATCCGGTTTTCCAGGAAACGCCAAGTGTCTTCAAAGTCCGGGGAGGAGTCCTGCATCATCACCAGCTCTGTTGTGTTGTAGATGCCAGCCAGCACCGCACGGCGGGTGTACCAGTTAAACTGCAGAGAGACCCACCCAGCAGGCAGGAAATCACTGCTCTGTGCGCAAAGGAAGTCCTGGGGTTTTCTCACTTAAGACCTCAGGGACTCCCAGGCTCCCTCCTCATTTCCTCTCTCTCTCACTGACACACATGGCCCTCTGGACACCACTACTGCTCTGAACTTGGCTGGGCATCAAAGCTGTCTGTGAGATGAAAACTGTAAGCTCCTGGTCCCAACCTCCTAGGCTGAGAGTCAGAGAGTCTGAATTAAACACTAGGAACCAGGAGGTTTAACCAGCAGCCAAGGTGATTTGACTGGAGAAGTGCCGAGTCCTGGGGAGTGTCTACAATCCA